TCGAAAATTTCAATAGTTTCGGGCGTCAAACCCACGCAATGACAATGGTTCCATTGAATAATGCAGTCGTTATTATCACATGCAATCATTGATTAAGTCTCATCACTGTTACAAATACAAAAGGATTCACGATAGTTCATCAGTTCTTCTCCAATCGATGTTATATCTGCTAATTTTTCATTAAAGTTCACCAAGATCTCTGGAAACAACAGCATTCAAACTAGACGCCATTTTCAGCATTTTACATGCGAGGTTCGTCTATCGCTTCCGAACATGCTCGGAATATTACCGAATGCTTGAGACTAGCGTAACCCATTGTACGAAGGTGTTAAGAGCTAACAGAACCAATGTTTGTGAACAAACATTGACAAACGATCATGGGGCAAAGCTAAAACAATAGCGTCGTGACTCCTTTCGTTAGTACCTTCCATGCTATAAGTGACATAGCTTTTGACTCCTTTCTAGGTCACCTCAAACTCTAGAGGGCGGTATTTTCTGGAAAACTGTATTAAACACACAATTAACTGAATTATTATTTTGTTATATTTACAGGTCAGTTTTTGGGTCGTCAGAGAAGTTCTCACAGCACAGACATTGAAAATTCGTGCAGAAGTTTTAGGACATTTTGTAAAAATTGCTAAAAGATTATTTGAGTTGAATAACTACCATGCACTAATGTCGGTTGTATCTGCATTGCAAAGTGCTCCAGTATTTCGACTTATGCGGACATGGAATGTAAGTATTCTCCTAATTTCTTCTCTCTTCATTCAGGTTTTAAAAAGGACATGCCTGTGTTTTATGAACCTCTATGAAATGTATTGCATTTGTTTCATTTAGAAAACACATTTCTAACAGGTGCTCATATAACAATAAAGAAAATTGCATTTATTGTACATTGAGTTGTTAAAATCTGACTTATTTTGGCCATATACATACTACAACAACTTTAGCCTCCTCTAAAAATTCAACCATCTAATTGTTTGGCATATTCTTATACAGTAGCTGACAAATTGACCATGTTCTTCATGATGTAGTATTGTTTCAATTTTTTGTGAATTGGGATCTGTGCCAAAAATAATATTGAAATGATACCTACTCACATGGTGGATATTTGTACATGTTACTCTTCAACGTTCTGTTGTTCACACCAGTAAATATTCCCTGTTTGATTATAGTTTTATTTTATTTTTGACTCCCGTGTGCGAAGCACAAAAAGGGAGTCTTTGTAGTTAGTGTGTCTGTATGTGTGTGTGTGTGTGTGTATGTGTGTCCGACTGTTCCACTGCTATCTCAAGAACCATACATCGGTTTTTGATGAAACTTGGTACATAGATGCTCTGGACCAATGCGCAGATTTGATTCGGCTTTGGTAAAAGTCCATGCATATTAATTACCTAATTTGCATGATAATTAGGTGATTTTTAGCTGTTCTATGACTGTTCCACTGACATCTAAAGAACCAATTATTGGATTTTGATGAAACTTGGCACACAGATGCTCTGAACTATGTTTTGGGTAAAAATCTGTGCATTATTAATTACCTAATTTGCATAATGATTAAACAATTTTCGACTTTTCCACTGAAATCTCAAGTACTAATCATCACATTTCAATAAAACTTAGATTTCATAGGACATAGGACACACAGATGCTTCAAACTAATGCGCAGTTTGGGGTAAAAATCTGTGCAATATTAATTACCTAATTTGCATAATGATTAATCAATTGTTGGCTTTTCCACTGATATCTCAAGTACTAATCATCACATTTCAATAAAACTTAGTACATAGATGTC